AGCTACCTTTAGACAAGTTAATGCAGAAATAGACTAATGGTGCCTGCCATCGCCGGGCTAGGAATACTAAAGACACGTTTTGGAAGGATATCAGGATGGTTCCTTGTATAGGACACTAGAGACTCGTCAATCAGCCATGACTTAAAATTGTGCTCATGTAGTTCCGACTATAAATAAGATGATGCACCCAGGTGCTAATGGGCTTTCCCAAGTCAAGATCTATCTGGGAATAGTAGTGGTGTTCTGGGAATAAAATACTGCAGAGTGATAAATCATTGCTCAGCAGGAGCCAATAATGAAAGCTCTCACTTTAGAACCATAGTGGCTCAGGTAGAGTCCTCGCCACCAACCGCCTTCCTCTCTCTACATCAGTACCCGGGTGGGAAGAGAGCAACATGACTCTACTTTTGAGAGACACAGTCACGTGACCTGTTCTCTCAAAGTTTATTATTATTTGTTATTTTTCAAACCAGAAGTCCTGATTGTGGTTCTTGAATCTGAGCAACCATGTTAGTATACAGAAAAATGAAATGAATACACTACACACACACACACACACACACACACACACACACACACAGAGAGAGAGAGAGAGAGAGAGAGAGAGAGAGAGAGAGAGAGAGAGAGAGAGAGAGAGAGAGCGCTCCAGGCTCTCCTGTACTAATTACCTCTGTTGTCACCTCTGTTCACTATCAGTTACATGATTGAGATAAATGTTTCCTGTCACATACTCTGTGACCTCAGGGGACCCATTTGGACATTTTAATTAATTCCATGGATCAGATACTCTAACTGAAAAAAGTTTTTAGTTGTGACTTCGCCTCTTGTTGGTGGCATCAAGGAGAATGGAACCCTTGTCTTAATTAAATGGATTCCACGTCCAGGTCTATATCACACTGACAGACAGCATGTACCTCTGAGCAGCCCATTGCCATCAGATGGACCAATTATGTCTCCTCATTATTATTACCAGATAGAACTCACTTGTAGCAGCCTGTTCTCCAAGCTGAAGGCATCTGGTCCATTCTCATAGATGCTACAGGCAGCAGCAGAGAGGAGTCTAGGGCTTATGCACTACCTGTAACTCTCCTTGTCTTTGCCTGAGCTCCACCCTCCTTCAGGTCTTCAGATCTCTTGGTTGGGCTAGCTACTGATGATCCCTCTCCTTACCAGGACTTTACAGTTTGCCTGTGAAATACACTGGTTGTGTTGTGTTTGAAATACATAACCATATGTATTTCACCTGTACTGTATACCTTTGCCATACATGCTTGCAGTGGGAACACAATACCAGAGATGGAGTGATGATGCTTATTGTCACCTTAGTGACAGTCTGCATGGGCCACACGACCCCATATGTAGAACCAGGGAAGATGGCTCAGTCAATAAAATGCTTGCTGTGCAAACATGAGGATCAAAATTCTGCCCTATTGTGCCCGTAAGAAGCCAGCTATGGTAGTAAAAGCTTGTAATCCCAACAGTGGGGAAGCAGTAGGAGGATCCCTGGGCATGCTGGCCACTCAATTCAGCCCAATCGGCATGTCATAGGTCCCAGTGAGAGACACTGTCTCAAAGATAAGGTCGATGGTGTGTGAGGACTTCCACCTGAGACCATCTTTTGACATCCATCCATGTGCATGCTCCCTCCACATACACACCCTTACCTGTGTTCCTCAGATAACACAGGGGTGGATTCACTTACTTATTTTCCTATAATCTGTCTCCTTCCTACTCAAATGTAAGGGCATGAGAGTAAGAATTCTGCTTGCTTTTCTTTTCTTTCACACACACACACACACACATATATATATATGTGTGTGTGTGTATATGTGTGTGTGTATATATGTGTGTGTGTATATATATATGTGTGTGTATATATATTTTTTTTCCCATTATATATCCTATTTTATATATATCATATTATATATTTCCTATTATATATCCATATGTATCATATGTAATGATATATATGAATGTTAGGATCCCTCAAACAGAAGGCAGGCAATAAATAATGAATTCTTGAATATATGAACAATATAGCAGCACAGTATTTTTAAATTTGTAGAGACAAGGTCTTGTCGTTTAGCTCAGGCCAGCCTCAAATTTGAAATCCTCCTATCTCCGCTTCTCAAGTGCTGCAATGACAGGTGTGTACTGCCATAACTTCATCACTGTTATGAAAATTACCTGTTGGCTTCTGTTTCTCACAACACTGAATGCTTGAGTTGGAATTTCTACCTGGACACCAAACAATGCTTAAGAGAGAATTCAATAAATGTGTGCTGAAGGAATGAGTGAAAAGGGAAGAAATTTTAAAAATGTCATGGGCCATGTGCTTTGTGTACAGTTCAGCATGGGTCTGTAAAAAGATGAGTAAGACACAGCCCTTGCTGGAGTCAAAGCTACAGTGTGGTGAAGAGGAGAGGTAGGCAGGGTTCAATCTGCTCAGAAACCATGTACTGAAAACAGGGAGAAACGGAACTCGGATGTTGAAGGAGAAGATGAGGCAAGATGGCAACCACAATAGGGGAGGGTTCAGCTGGGTTTTGATGGAAGCATAGGAGATTGGCACGGAGACTTGGGGGTAGAAAAAGACCCACTTTGGCTGATGATTGCTCAAAGACCACAGAGACACGAGCCCCCTTTTCCCCTGAGTGCTCAGTAAATATGAGCAAAACCAGTAGCTATATTACTATTGCTCTAAGAGAACTCAAGTGTTTGGCAATCAAATCACACAAGTACTTGCTTACTTGTCCTTTAAGCAGGAGTCGAGTCATAACACTGTCCCTGAATTTATCTGCCTTGACCATAGCAAGAAACCAAAACAAAACCTGCAGGTGGCAGCCACCTAGAAACAGGGAAACTGCCCTCCACACAGGGGAGCCAAGAATCAATCTAGAAAGCTATAGAGCTTTCCTGTATCAGAATTAAAATGAGCTCAGCGAGGTGCACATGTGAGTAAGAATATTCTGTTAGAGCAGGTAAGCCTCAGCTCAGAGCCAGAGAGCAAAAACAAAACAAAACAAAACAAAACAAAAAACGGGCCAGAGCGATGGTACCCTGGAGCCTGAAGAAGATGGCTCAGCACCTGGGGCCTTCTTGACCAAGAACCTAAAAACACAAGCTAGCAGGCCTCACTGCTGATACCCAAGGTGGGTGGAAGAGCTTTGTTCACTGAGCCCCCTGTCTTTCAAAGATCCCAAGGACACACCTTCTCCTTTCCCCCTGCTGCCTGCGGGGTAGCATAGACAGCCAATGAGAGACAGCATCCACACACCAAACACCCTTGCATCGCTGCACCAGCTGCGCATGCGCTTGTCACTCACCCAACTCCCTTGCTATACCGTCCCCCACATTCCACAATCCCACCTATGTATGCCTCACCATATTATCATAAGACTGCTGGCTGGTCCATCTATCCTCTCTTGAGCCTCTATGGTCATTTTAATGACTCGGTGCGTATTCACACTCCAGGGCCATGGGTCCCACTCTGGGCAGCCCCTAGTGCTTTTCTCTGCCACACCCTCTCGGTGAGGATCCCATCTTACTAAACCTCTCAGACCTTTCCCTTCTTAGTTTCACTCACTGTTCCTGCCTGCTGGCTCTCGGCATCCCTCCTCTGAGAAACTTGGAAAATGAAACAGTGGTGGCATACCAATTTTGATATGACAATGTAATTATGCAAGGACTTGAAACACCATGGAGTGCCTCCAAGAACACTGGGAACTCCCACAGTGCTCTGCTGTCTCTAGACCCATTTAGTTTCAGACTGGATGGTTCCAGCCTGTTGGGAAGGTTCCCTAGTTGTACCTGAAGACTCACAGGAATGGTGTAGGCTGTTAATACTAATTCATCCTTCCTTAGGGAGGCTTACACAATGTTCTCCCTCCCCTTCCCTTTCCTCTTCTTCCTTTTCTTCCTTCCTGTGCTGGGGACACAGTAGGTACCGAGTACACATTTGACAAGTGACTGAATCCACTGAGGTAAACAGTTGTCTGGGTAAGTGCTCCCTGATGGCTCATGTATTAAAGGCTTGGTTCTCAGCATGTGGTTCTTTTGGGAGATGGCAGAACACTGAGGTAGGGCCTGTGTAAGGTTTCCTGGTCAGCGAGGCTACACCTTTGAAGGTGTTATTAATATCCCATCCTTTCCTCTTCTTTTCTCCTTCTGGTCCCAGCCACAGGGTTAATGGTTTCACCAAGTACTGTGGCCATGATGTAATACTTTGTTGCAAGCCCAAAAGCTACAGAGCCAATATGTCACAGTCTGAAACCTCCAAAGAGAAAAAAAAAAATCCACGAAGCACAATCAACCTTTCTTATTCCATAAACTGGTTTATCTCTGGTGTTGTTATAGTAACAGAATGCTAACACAGTTCCCGTGGGCTTTCTCCAGAAAACAGAAGGTGAATCTCAGCACCAAACTGTTCCCAGCTGTCAGTAGCCATCTCTGCATTTTAAATAGGTAACAGAAAGAAGGTGAAGTTGTGATTTTAGGAAAAGCTGTCACAACCCTTGGCTTTGCCCACACAGATCAAGGTGAGCTGACCTGAGAGGGTGACTTACTCATGGCCTCTTCCATATTCCCTGTGTTTCCTCTCTGGCTGCATCGATCGCAACATTTTTCATGTTTTATTGAGCCTGCCCACACCTTATCAATGCTTGATGCTTCACTGAAAACCGTCCAAAAATAGACACACACGCTAATTCTAGTATTAGAACCTGGGAATCCATCCCATTTTGCTCTTAGACTCCAGTTGGGCCCACGACCAAATCAAACGGGATTTCCACCCAACTGCTAAAAGGTTTCAGGGAAATGGCTTTACTGCTAGTGTGCCATGGTGGTATCTCTCAATATTTTTATCCTTCCTTCAAGAGAAAGGCAGGCAGTTGTGGTGTGTGCCAGGCTCCAATGCTTCAGAAGGAGGATGAGGTTGATATGGAGATAGCCCAGCTTCATGCGTACACACAAACATGCACACACACATTCATTATCCTTACCAACATAGCCTGGGGTCCCGCAGGCTGTGGACATCACGTCTCCTTTGCCCTCCATTTTTGACAATCCAAAATCACTGATCATTATTTTGGACTCCTCGTCTTGACTGTAGTACAAGAGATTTTCCGGCTAGAAAACAAAAGAAAACAAAACAGAAACAACTTATAGATTGTAAAACAAGCCTGGGCTGTAGGTCTGTCATCTCAGCTACTTGGCAGAACATGTCTCTCCAAATAAAAAATAAAAAGAGGCGTGGGAATGCAACCTAGTGGTAGAGGGTTTGCTTAACATGCAAGAAGCCCTGGACTTGATCCCTGGGACTGAAAGCAAGCAAGCAAGCAAGCAACAAACAAACAAACAAACAAACAAACCTCCAGAAAACCAAACAACAACAAACCCCAAACAATTGAATAGCAGGTACATTTAAAGCTGTCTTACTTATGGGAATTTCATCAAATCACACAGTTAAGAACAACCTTGATCTTTAAACATAGATAATGTCTGTATCAATAGATGTCAATTAAAAATGAAGAACTTAAGAAACATGCTGGGGGTGGGGCTGCAGAGGATTTGATACAAGTCACTCTTCAACATTATTCTTTTCCTTTACCAGTATTTTGTCTCCTTAAAAAGATCAATTTTGAGGGAACCTAAGAAGGTATTAGCTCTCAGACTGTCATTGGTTCTTGGCTAGGGGAGTAGGATTCCCAGGAGATGAAACCACATTCGCATGTTCTCATGGGTTCCTGTGTGTGTGTGTGTGTGTGTGTGTTTAAACTAGAGAACCTTGCAGGTTATTTTGCTGTGATGCAAGGCTCTCTCCTGGCTCTCAGCAGTATCCCACCATGTCCTGCAGTCCTGGAAGAAGGGTTGCACATAGCACATTGCTGAGATCACTAGCCACCTGCTCACACCCCTTCCAGGGGAAGGAGGAAGATTGAGCACTCTAGGAACAAAAGAAGCAGAGCTTTCTAGTCATGCACCCTTAAAGACCCCTCTTCTTGTGCCAAGCACAGCAGTCTCTTCTTGTTATCCCTCTGCACCACACAGGGGAGAGCTCAGAGAGTGGTCCCACACTCCTGTCTTAGCCTCCTGGGATTACAGGGGTATACCTCTGTGCCCAGCTTGACTTCACTGTGGTTTTAGAATATCAGTGACATATGGGAGGGACTTGGGGCAGACAATAAAACATTGTCTGCAGAGTTGTATACAAAACTGGGGGTTGTCATTGGGCCTGGCAAGGACCAGGGCAGGGCTTGTGGATGCCATGATGGACCTGTCTCAGGCTAGTCCCTATTCTATTGGGCTGAGAAACTCAACAAGGAAGAGGGACCTGAAGTTTTGTTTATCTGTATTTGTTTTGTGTGGCTTTAGTTGATGCTATCCCTCAGGGGGTAGCATTGGGATGGTCTGCTAACATCCATCCACCAGGATAGTTCTAAAGATGTATTGATTGAATAAGTACTTGTGGCTCTTGTCTACAGTGAACCTTAAGGGAATGAAAGCTGGAAGAAGGCTGTGAAATGGAAGCTCGTTTTCCCACCCCGTTGCCAGACTGGTTACTCTCCCAGCCCACGGATAAAGACATAGTCTCTCTTGCCAGGCTCCTGAGGCAAATCTTGGGTTGCTAAACATTGAATTTTAGGAATTCTTACAGGTAGAGTGATTAGACATGTTTAGAAAGTGTTTCTTGCCTTTGTTGTATGTCACTGCTACCTGTTCACCCGTGAGGGTATTAAATGGAAGAGATACATCATTTGGTAGATATGAAATGGGGTGGGGATGGATTTTTGGGTGGAGGTGGTGGAGGTGGTGGAGGTGGCAGTGGCAGTGGTGGTGATGTGTGTGTATGTTAGGGGATTCTGGCATATAGTCTCTGCTATAAAGAAATTGTAAGAACTGGCCAAGACTCTGTCCTTGACCAAACCTTAGCCAGGCTCCTCTGAGCCCTCTTGAGAATAAAGCCTTGACTTTAGCCTCTCAAATTTCTCTAGCCAGGCCAGCCAAGAACAGTCTTAGCATGGATCACCTGAACTCATTTTAGAGCAGTGATTCTCAACCTGTGGGTCACGACCCCTTTAGGTGTCAACCTTTTTACAGGAGTTGCATATCAGATAACCAGCATATCAGATATTTGCATTATGATTTATAACAGTAGCAACATTACAGTTATGAAGTAGCAACAAAAGTAATTTTGTGGTGGAGGGGTCACCACAGTATGAAGAACTATATATGCTAAGGGATCATAGCATTAGGGAGTTGAGAACCACTGTTTTAAAGGTAATTCTTACCCCTGAAATATAATCAAACTCTTCACCCAGTGTTTCAGATGCTGTTAAACTAACAATTATTCAGATATTTTAAAAATCTTTTAAAAATTTATTTAATGTATGAGTGCCCTGCAGAGCAGAAGAGGGCATCAGATCCTCTTACAGATCGTTGTGAGCCACCATGTGGTTGCTGGGATTTGAACTCAGGACCTCTGGAAGATCAGCCAGTGCTCTTAGCCACAGAGCCATCCTTCCAGCCCTATTTAGATATTTTTTAAAAGACAATGAGAGTCTTTACCACTACCACAGGGCTTTATAGGAAGAGGAATCTGGTTTAAATCCTATGCTAAAAATGTTAACTGGAGATTTACAGCAAAGGGAAGGTTGGAGGGCCGTGGATGAAATATTCCTGTGAATATATGAGTAAGAGCTGGCCAGACCAACTCGACAGGACGTTTGTTTAAGGCACGAGACAGGGTGACTAGGTATTGCTGTGGGCGATAAGAAACTTGGGTAGATAACCAGAGGTACGTTATAGTAAATGGACTCAGAACGACTCTCGCTAAAACTAGACTAAGTAAGTAGAGTCCACGGACAGAGGACAGAATCAGAGACCAGGCCTGGTCATAGAGAGGACTCAGAAAAGTTGCAACCAATCGATTTGGCTCAGAAATGATCTTTGCCCATGTATGAGTCTTTGACCTGCCTTTATGGAGAGATTTGTTAGGTCATTTTATTTATTTATTTTTAAATCAGTATTTTGCTTTTGTTTGTTTGTTTGTTTGTTGTTTGTTTCTTGGCACTGTAGCTCAAATCCAAGCCTTGTATGTGCTAGGTAAGGGTTCCATGGCTGAGTTATATCCAGCACTGCCCCCAGGCCTCGGCCAATTTAGCAAGACTACTAATATCTCTTAATGGCTTTTCTTTGGAAAATTATTTTATTTTGTGTTTGTGTCTGGGTGTTGAGATGTTGGGACATGTGGAGGCCAGAGGGCAACATCACTCTGTTTTAAGACAGGGCCTTTCCACTGAATGTGGAGGCTGCCAATTGGGCTCAGCTGGCTGGATACGGAGTCCAGGGGTCCTCTTATCTCTGCCTCCCCAGGGCTGGGATTCCAAGTGTGCACTGTCATCCCTGACTTTCTTATGTGGGTGCTGGTGACCATCTCAGCTCTTTCTGCATTTCGGACTGAGTCATCTCCTGGTCCTTCTTAGTAATCTTGTAGGCTCTGTGCTCTCCCCATCCCACCCCTGCTCCCCCACTCTAAGAGCCCACTTGTTCGTGTTTTCAGAGTTACAGCTGGGATCCGTCTCTCTTCTCCGTGCAGCAGGCTCGAACAAAAGCTTCTCTCTTGTTGTGACAAATGTCGAAACATTTTTTTTTCTTTAACAGAACCCAAAGGGGAAAAATATTTTCAATCACCCAAAATAGTTACACAAAGAGTTACTCAAGTTGGTAGTCATCGTGACAATTTTGTGGATGAAGAATGAGATTTGAAGAAAATCAAATGATGCCAAAGGGCCTTTGAAAGTACAATGAAATGGGCCAGTCTGTTGTTGAGACGGGAATAATGTTTGGAAAATGGGAGAGGGGTTCCTCTTATGGTAAAATCATGGGGTTTAGGATTTATCTATTGATGTATAGTGACACTCAGTCACAGATGCAGAGGCAAGACTCCATTTCACCACCACTGGCTTTTAATCCTCCTTGCCCAGAACTTCTGCAGCTGGAGAGATGAGCACATGACTTATGCTACTAACCAAAGCTCAACTCAGGCAAGGGATTGCCAAGAACACCCTCCACTACACACACACACACACACACATACACACACACACACACTCATCATATACACACACACATACACCCCATTACACACACATAAACATACCCCCTACTATATATACACATATACACACACACAAATATACACCCCATTACACATACACAGGCATACCTCCATTACATATACAAACACAAACACACACCCCTATTATACACACACAAATATACACTCCATCACATACACACAAACATACACCCCTATCACATATATACAGACCCCACCACACACACAAACACACACCCCTATCTCACAAACACACACACACAAACATACATACAGATACTACATCACACACACACACACACACACACACACACACACACACACACCTCACACACATCCCTCACACACACATACCTCCCTCCATGGGAAGGTCAGCAAGATGCTTTTCTGAATGACTATCTCAGAAGAGGATTAAAGCAACTAAATAGTCACTGTTTTAATCAATACTTCGGGTTGACTCAAGATTCGGCTATGGCAGCAAGGCTTTTCCTGGCTGGTGGGAGTAGGGAGGCAGAGTCAAGGGTGGCCAAGGGGTCACCTACAGGATGGTCTGGAGGAAAAGCCACCAGGAGCAGTATGAAGGCTGTGAGCCACAAAGAGAATCTCACCATACCCAATCACTATTCTTCCTACCAGAAGGGGGCCCCTCTGCAGGGTCTAGTCTCCCCTGAAAAACAATTTTGCTACATATTATGGCATTTCTGTATGACAACTGAGAGCTAACACCCAAATTAGACTATCACACTACTTCATAATAATTTATACAATAATCCTTAAAAAGATCTCAGCACATTTCTGGGAAAGTTACTACTGCATGTAACAGCTCAATGAATCTAGTTTTCTCAACGGGGGTTGGGGAGCAGTTTTGAACCTCAGTGAATAACATTCAGCAAAGCCTAGACATTTTTGGTTGCTATGACTCCTGGAAGGGTGCTGGAAATCTAGCGGGTAGAAGTCAGGGGTGCTGCTAAACATCCTACAGAGCCCAGGACTGATGCCCACACAGAGACCTCCGTCTCTCAATATCAATAGGGCAGAGCTGAGGAACCCATCACAGTCTGACACGGGAGTGGTAGACTTCCTTTCTCTGTCCTGCCTTTTAACAAGACAGAACACTCGGTTGTCTCTAGCAGTTTCCGGAGGCCCATGAGACATAAGAACATCTATCTGGAAGGAAAAGTAGGCATGTTTGCTCATGGGTTGGGGTAGCATTGCAGACCATGCTTCTGTCCTCAGTATGTTGTCTGATGGTGTAACTTAGACTGCATGGCTTTCACGTTCTTGGGAGTTGGTGAAAATGTAATACCACTTTGGGGAAACTCCTTGGAGCCTCAGAAAGGGATGATACAAAAGTCCTAACATAGCCACTGTGTTCTTCTACAAGGATAAGCCCAGTTGTCAAGATCACTGTCCCCTATCTCTGATTGCAATGGATGTACTTCCAGAAGACCTGATTGATTCTATCTTCCTGATGCTAAGGACAACACGGTTACAAAGTAGTTCTTGTGTTTACATTTTGAGTGGGTGCATATATGCTAGGGGGTGAATGTCTGCCTCATTCATTCAGTAGGCTATGGAGGTTGGACCTGTAAGATTGTAGCTTGGAGTCACATCATAGCCTGGGCTCAACAGTGACACTTTCATTGTCTTTCCAGTCTTCGCACGTGATCACTACCGAGACCTGGGGGAGGGAGAGGGAATGGGACACTTAGGTAGCCACTATGAAGTCCAAACTCTTCAGTGCTCACAGATGAAGGATCACAATACCCTCACCTCACAAAGAAAAGACAATTACTTATAGTCTCCTCACCCAGGATGCTGAGGCCAGAGATTTGGAGTTCTGAAGCCTATTTAGGGTATATATTGAAATTCTACCTAAAAAAAGGAACTAGACAAAACCAATTGGAAGGAAGGGAAGAAAATGGAGAGTCAGTGAAAGAAGAGGAAGAGAGAAAGTGAGTCAGAAAGACAAGAGGAGGGAAGAGGAAAGTGGAAGGGAGAGGAGGAGAGCGGGGTTGGGGGGAAGGAACCTTCAGGACACCAGAAGACAGCTGTACTTGTAAGCTCCTCTAACCTACTGTACCACAAACCTTCTTTCTCTATTTTGCGCTGTCCCCTCTTTCATTGGCTGGTGTGTTTTTAAGAGACTAGAGGTAGGATGTGACTCTGAAGAGCTCCAGGGTGGGGAGGGGTTATCCTAGGTAGGAAAGGGTTTATATTAACCCTACAACATCCAGGTCACAATCTATCATTGAGGGAAGTCAGGGAAGGAACTCCAAGCAGGAACCTGGAGGCAGGAGAGATTCAGAAGCCATAGAGGAGTGCCTCTTACTGGCTTGATCTCCAAGGTTCACTCAGCTGGCTTTTCCCCCATACAGCCCAGAGGTGGCACTGCCTACAGTGGATTTGGCTCTAACACATTAATCACTGCTCACAAATGCCCCCATAGTCTTGCCTACAGGCCAATCCTTTGGAGGCCTTCTCTTAATTGAGATTTCCTCTTCCCTGATGACTCTAGGTCAAACTGACAAAAACAAAATCAATCAGCTCAGGGAACGAAGAGTCTCCATGATTTTTCTTCCCTCTATAGAATGTTCTTGGAAAGGTCTTGAATTAATACACAGCCTCCTCTCTGCGTCCCCATGGGCTGTCTGATGGTTACAGAAGCTTACACACCACGGTCAACTGTATTGATCCTCATTCTCTTTTAAGTGACTTCCAGACCTCAAGGCAATGATAACCCCAAAACTGTATGACTGCCCTTTCCGTCTGTCTCTTATCAAAACTGGATCCTTCCACCATAGCTGGCCTTCTCCAGCAGGTGCATTGTGGGCTGTGAAGTGGCTGGATGGTGTTGCTGAGCAACGGCCTCACCTTGAGGTCCCTGTGGACGATGCCCATTCTGTGAAGATAGTACACAGCATCCAGGACCTGGCGGATGAGAGTGCTGGCATCTTTCTCAGTGTAAAACCCCTTCTCCACTATCCGATCAAAGAGTTCTCCACCAGACACACTGTGAAACAAATAAATAAGACGTTATTAAAGCATGGAGGGCTGGTGAGAGATACAGGTAAAATCATCGATTGCTAAGAGTTCTCAGTAGGATATAGAACAAATTTTAGTTTTAAACGTAATTTTAAAACATTAACCCAATTCTGAATTTAGAACTTGCCCAATCTCATCTCTAGAAGGAATCACTAGAAAAGGTCCCTATATCACAGCAGTAAAAATGTCTGGACTAAAAGAAAAGTAGACAAATAAGCAAACAACAACAACAAACAAAACCCCGAGATTTGTGGCATAGCAACTCTTAAGAAATCTTTCCTAAACTTGGCCTCTATTTTCTATTGTGTTAGGACAACACAAAGTCAAAATGGCCCCCTGGCTAAGTATTATCCAATATAAGCATATGACATTGGACTGATGTCTTTGTCTGTGTGTATGTGAAAGGGGGTATGTCTTGCATGACAAGACAGCATTGGAAGCCAAAGACTGGTCTCTTAGCGGGGGTAGGGGGAGGTTCTAGATCAATTTTAGGCCATAAAACACTAAGTACATGAGTGCCTTTTTGATGTTTGGATCTTGGCCTTTCTATCTATTTAATGGGTGGATGAATCTAGTCAACCCTTTCAACAAGGAATAGGTGCACACCCTTGAAGGTTATCAGATTCTCAAAGTCACTGGAAATTTATAGGGGAGAACAAAAGTAGGGAAAGGTGTGGTGATACATATCCCCAGACCCCAGACTTGAGATGTGGAGACCGGAAGTTTGGGGGAAGTTTGGAGCTAACCTGTGCTACACGGTGAAACCCTGACTCAAAATGAAACAATGAAAAGGAAGGCACTGCATCACAGAGCCCAGAACAGTATCAACTCAACCAATTACCTTCAAAGTTTGAGAATATACATATCACTAAAAGAACATTGCTCTATTCAAATAATTGAAGCATTGGAGAGGTAAACTCAAGGGGTTTTCTATTTAAAAAAATTCCCAAATTTTCAAAACCATACAAAACATATATTTATTAGAAATATTAAAACCATAAACCAGCTTTTAAAACCACTCTTTTCTTTTTTATATCTTTAATACAATAAGAGATAGATGAAAGCAGTGCACACACAGACACGAAGGTATGATTTACTTTCTGCAAGTCACGGCAATTAATGTACAATCGACAGAAATTGTCTCTGTAAAAAGCTAATAATGAAAATAAAAACAACTGCAGCTATAAAAGACCCATGTTTTTTGGTTTTATTCCATTACCTGTCATTTTTCCAAGCAATAATGCACTTGGATAATGTTTCCCTTGCAGAGAAAACTGACAATCTAGAAAGAAGAGACACTCAGGAGAAACAAAAAGCAACCCAAAGAGTGAAGGAAGCAGAAACAACAGAGATGACAGCATCTCAGACGGCCATGCTGTCTAAACAATCTATCCTGTGGCGAGGCGAGCTCCTAAGACGTCTGGTCTTGGCAAGTGATACAAAGTCTCTTCATTCTCTGATGGGGTTCTAGAAACCCAGCCTGTTTCAATATCTGACACTCTGCAGAGCCAGGAGGTGTACTACCACAGGAAGACTGTAGCTGTGAGGCAAGGGGGAGCGTGGATGCCCTGAGGGTATTTTCAGCACTCAGTGTGCTTCTCCTGGCTGTCCATTACTCATCAGTGGGTCTATGCACTTGGTCATAGCTGACTAGCATCAGTTGCAGAGGGGTAAGACTGTCCTTATCCCTCAGCATCAATCCATCTTCTAATGATGCTCTCCCATCCCTGGCCAGCCTGTTCTCAACTCTTCTTCTCTGCAGATGTTGGAGGACAGGCAATAATCCTTACCTTTCCCACCTCCTGACTCCTCCCACCACCTGACCCCTCAGCCTCCTGACCCCTCCTACTTCCTGACTCCTCCCACCATCCAACCTCCTTATAGAGCATCCCACAACCAAGCCCTGCCCACCCTTCTGCCTCCCTTGAACCTCATGAGGTCTTTTTTCTACCGCAGGATATTTAAGGTCTTGACGGATTCTGTAAGATGAAAATGTGTGAATTGCCATGGGGCAGCAGTGTGACATGAAAGCAAGAGTATCAATGGATGATACATGCTGCTTAAATGTGCTCGCTATCTGCACATTTAAGATTCTACTTCTTAAACTTCAGATTGCATCAGAGTTCTACTTCTGAACATGGCTCAGGAAGAATTTGGTTTCCTTAGAAACCAGTGCTCTGGGGAAATGTTTAGAAACTTGACAGAAAAAAAGTAACAATATTAATTTAAAAAGAAATCTTAAATTTGCAAATCACTTTATACTTAAAAAAAAAATCTCACAAGGCATACATACATTTTCAAAGCCCACTGTTAAGAAACAAATACATCTCCCAATTCTTGCTTGGAAGCTGTAAGTCTTAAAGTGATAGCATTTGGGGTAGACCTTTGGGACATCCTTAGGTTGAGGTATGGTCATAAGGTAGGCCTCCATGATGGAATTAGATCCTTATAACGAGATCTCTGTCTCATTTGCCACAAAGGACACCATAAGCAAAGAAGAGAGCTCCTGGCAGAATTAACCTAAGCTTCCAGTCCTCCTCCACACCATCTCCAGGGCTGTGAGAAAGTATATTTCCCTACATTGAACAAGACACCTGCATATTCTTGAAACCTCTTGTGAGGCAGATATGAGAAGTTACAGTGTTTCAGAATCAACAGAGAAAAGAGCTTACTCATGGCCAGACACAGGTCTCATCCTTAGGGTAGCTGACCTGTGTGGGCTGTTTGGAGAGGCTGCCTTCTTGGCAAAACTCATCTATGGGAAACCTCTGCTGTGAAGGTTTAAAGTTCAATGTTAAAATAAAATATCAGAATGAAATTAGGATGGGGTGAGTTATCAGGAGATTTGGGAAAGGAAAGAGAACCCTAATAGTGGATTATGCAGTACAATGAATTAATGGTAGTTGTCTTTGTCTTCTATTGCTATTAGCATAATATTGATTAGGTGAGTGCCAAGGATAAATTTTTATTTTGGTTATACTTCTGGTCCAAGGTCAAGAGTCTGTTTCTGTTGATGGGCTTCTTTCTGGCATATATATGTGTACATGCCAGTATGTATGTGCACACATGTGCACATGCGTGTGGAGATCAGAAGTCAATGTCAGTTGTCTAGACTTGCCAGTAAGCCTCAGGGACAATTTTTAGTCACCTTTTTAACATTTCCATTATAGACACATACTTTCTGTGGTGGTTTGTATACGCTTGGCCCATGGGAATTAGTACTATTAGGAGGTGTGGCCTTGTTGGAGGAAGTGTGTCACTGTGTAGGTGGGCTTTGAGGGCTCCTCCTGCTCAAGCTCAAGCTCTGCCCATGACAGAAAGGATAGTCTCCTCCTAGCTGCCTTTGGATCAAGATGTAGAAGTCTCAGCTCTTCCAGTACCATGTCTGCCTGGATGCTGCCATGCTTCCTACCATGACAATAATGGACTGAACCTCTGAAATCGTAAGCCAAGCCCAATTAATGCTGTCCATTATAAGAGTCATCTTGGTCATGGTGTCTTCTCATAGCAATAACACCCAAAGTAAGACACTTTCTCACTTGAAAGCTTTTCCTATGTGAGTGTTGGGGATCAGACCCAGGTCTTCATGATTTTAAGACAAGTACTTTTCTGTTGTGCTTGGTCCCCAAGCTCCTCCTAATCATCTCCTAAAGATCGCACATGATCAGAATCTTTATATTATAGTGAGTATTAATTTTCAGTGAGAGTGAGCTTCAGAAGGCCAACTTAAAGAAGTAGCCATGGAGGGGGAGGGGAAATATGGACATCGGAAGACAAACTGGCTATGAAACACCAAGGCAACAAGACAGAAGAGATGGTCCAGATTTCTTGCCTCTCTGGATTCTAGTTCTGATGTCCTCCAGAGCAGCATTCAACTCTGTCACTCAGTCTCTCGTCCTCTTTGCCTACTATAGTAGATGCTATCACCGCGTGTGTCAATTTTAAATATGTAAATGTGAAAGACTTTGATGTCATAATCTCAGTACCATTTCAGCTTATTTGTAAAACTTTTAAGCCATGCAAATCCCCATGAATGGAAAAAATAATTGTCAAGAGACATGATATCATTTCAAGAGTTACTGTACTGAGTAAACTTTAAGTTTGGATTGCCCTATTGTAGACTACTGTATCATGTAACTTTGTTAGGACACCACGCATTATAGTATTATGCAAACCCCACTGTTTCCATGTACTTGACTTATCTACCTGATTCTCCCTCCCTGCCTTCCCACACTGTATGTGCACATAGGCATATGCACTTGTATCGGTATATGGAGGCCAATGTGTGTATGTGCGGAGGTCAGAGGTCGATGCTGAGTATCTCCCTCAATCATTTTCCACCTTTATTTTTAATATGGGCTCTCTCACTGAACCTTGTGCTAGCTGATTTGCTTAGACTTGCTGGCCAGTGAGACCCTGAGATCCACCTGTCTCACTCACCCATTTCTGAGGGCTAGGCATCGCACATGGATCCTGAAGCTTGCATAGGAAGTACATTACCTGCTGAGCTGCTTCCTCAGCCCACGCCACCTGATTTTAAAAGACAGTGTTCTGTTACCTTAAACTGTGATGCTCGTTATTATGAAAAGTTGTGTGTAAAACTGTTACAGTGTGAATGTGAGATGCTAGCTATCAGCTACACATTTGAACACTTGGTCCCTAGCTGGTGGGGCTGCTTTGGAGAAAGTGATTCATTGAAAGGTGAGGAGTGGTAACTTTGGTATTATACTTGCTGTGCTGTCTTCCATCCCTGACTGTGGACCCAATGTGGCCAGCTACTTCATGTCCTACTGCCAGGCCCCGTCTACTATGACGAGCTGTACCCCTTAAACCAGCAGTTCTCAACCTGTGCTTACATCCAGTGCATTAGATATTTGCATTGCAATTCATAACAGTGGCAAAATTATAGTTCTGAAATAGAAATGAAGTAATTTTATAGTTGGGGTCACCACAGCATGAGGAACTATA